GAATATTAAATCTTGACTGAATAATAAAAATCATCCGCTACACTGTTGTAGTCAAAAGTTCATGAAATTTTCAATTTTTATGCTGAAGGTCTGAAAATTGGATACAAAATTCTTGATGATTTTCATTATAGCCAGAAAACAAAATAATCTCGAAATGATTGACAACCTTTCAAAATTAAATTTTTACGGAATAGGATATTTCAATGAATTCCCGTTAAATAATTTTGTACAGTGTTTTTGTTGCGATGTGGTTTTTATAGTAATATCATTCCAACGAGTTGTCCGTGTAAAACTTTACAAATTAAACATTAAAGATAAATCGGGAAAAATTGTTTTTCACGTGGAAAACCCGTGCATAATATAACAGATTATCAAAAACAATACAGGACCGTAATAATATAATAACACCAGACGGCCCTTCGATAAAATAAAGTTTCTGAATCTTACTGCAACATTTCTTTCTATAATATATAATAACTTTTTTTTTTTTTTATATAATACAATGCATTATCGTTATATAGGTATTGTTATATTAACTCCGAAACGATATCTAATGATGTCTCAGTACAGGTTGTTGTGTAAATATGAATCAACAAAACATGTAGTATCTATCGTAACTAACAAAAAATGTATTCTCGCTGACAACGGCAGTTTTATAGTCTAGTACACTTCGATAACGTGAAACGATATATATATATATATATATATATATATATATACATATATTTAGTGGCTAGATGTCTAGATTTCCAAAACGCTCTCATTGATCATTTCATCGTAGTAGTACTTGCCAATATTCATCTAATATTAATTAATAATTACAAATATCAGTTAATATCAGCTAATGTTATTGTATCGCTCTCGTTTACTTCTCGTATTATATCACCTCGAAGAAATGTGTTCGCGAGAAGTGTACGTTTTCCATGTGCCATAATTGCGCACATTAGCAAGACTTCGCGGTACGACATTGTGCAGCGTTTAAACAACTAAATTTCATAATTATTTTACTTAACAATCGATTAGTGTGCCAAATTCGAAACCACATGGGTTACATTCAACATTTATAGCGGTAGTCAGATTCGATGACACTGCAATGTCGCGTGGAAAGAGAGTGGTCGTACGCGGGACGTTGTGTCTACAGGGTGGCAATATTTATCTTAAAAACGTGTTCTGCTTTTATCACCTCTGTAAAACGCCATCCGCTATTTGTTCACCACATATGCTATCGATACCACAATTTATTCGTTGCACAATATCATATTTATTCTTTTAACGGAATACCTTTATTCTCCAGCAGCGTAATGCAATTGAAATATTCGTATTGTCCATTATATTTTATATAATCTATTGAAATGATTATCAAGACATTTTTCGATCGTTCGTCGAGTTGGTTAATGCCGTCGAATTCAAAAGTTATTTTCTTCTAGGTCACGGGTTGCCACACGGGCGTTTCGTAAAACTGTAGGAAATATCGAGTTGAAATCACAAGTATTACGTACGTCGCGTGTCGTTCGATCGAAAAGAAAAACATAACACACTTAGTGCGCATCACGTGATACAGCCGTTTTGGGGGGCAGTAATCAATTTATTTTTAACAGCAGAACATTGATTTTTCGCACGTTTGTTTAGTGTTCGAACCGTACGTCGGAAATGCATGTCGAAGTCTCGCGCGATAAACGAAAACTTTTCAAATAACGTTCACTCGAAAGTTGATGGTTAACAATGTAATGATTTTTATGACACGCTACACGGGCACAGTGCACCCGACACGCATGTACCGCAACGAGGGTTTTTGGTGTTCGATTTAATGATGTCCCCCCCCAGATAAATTTCGCGCGGGCGCCCACGACAATACTATATTTTGTAATCGAAAAATACTTGTAAAAGAAAACCGAGCTCAAAGGTCCGTTCCGCACATCGCTTCCCGCGAGCACACCGCCGATGCCGTGTAACGCAGTGTGTATCGGTCGGTCGGTGTGCACGAAAGTTATAGGAAAAAAAGAAAAAAAAAAAATGTTTAGTCGTCGGTCGGACAGAACGCTTTTTCGTGCGTACTGTAGACGAAACGAGATCGTTGGATTACGCGTGGCGCGCGCGTGTGGTCCGCTAATAATAAGAACTCGATGGTTTCGCGTACGGCCCACCCATGTCTCGCGATCGCGTCGTTAACAGACCAGACGTTTGGCGAACGGTAATCGCCATAGGAAGTACTATCAGCGACGGTGATTCGTTCGTCTCGGCAGCCGCCTGGAAACATCACGAGCATTCAACGAGCCACGGTCGAGATCGCGTAAAGGATCTGTAGCGACATTTTTTTATTTTATTCTAGAAAAAGCTTATTCCCCCCCCCCCAACCGTTGACATTGCGCGACGATCGTTTTAATATCACACCGTAATTCGATTGCGATTTCCGTTGGTGTTTATTCGTCGGCACACATACGCCGCGTAGGCCGCATAAAAGTGCAATATCAATATCGGAGCCTGTAAGATCATGTATTAACGTTGGCGGTACAACGTGGAAAATCGTATAAAATTGTCTTCTTTTTTTTTCTTTCTCTCTCGCGCCATAACGCGGTTTTATCAGAAAGTAATTGATCGGTAGGGGGAAAAAAAACCGCTTTGTGTACAATATTATTAAATATTATACGTAAGACAACGTATACCATATACATATAGTTCACATTCCGGATGAAGAAGTAACGATGTTATGCTTTTCAACCGTCCGCCACGATCTCATAATTGATCGATTCATCATTATATCATGGTGCCTATTTACCCGCGCGCAATGCGTATATATACGTATAAAACCTTTTAAAATTTAAATAATAATTTGACGCTAATTAATAAATACGTTCCACCGCAGAGCTTAAGCGGGATTTCATGTAAACTTTTAATTTTAAAACACGAGTGCTCGACGAAAAGGAGTTATATTGATTTTTCAGCGTAGCGTTTTTATTTTTCGGTTGACACTTTTGAGAGAAAAATAACGAAAAGCGGAGGATAGAAATAAAAACGGAGAAAGAGAGAGAGAGAAAATAAAAATTGGTCCGCTGTATGATAATAGAACTGAGAAATCTTTAACAGTTTTCGGGAAAATGAAAAAAAAAAAAAGCTACAAACAAAATATCAAAGAAGTCTTGAATGTTTCTGGATGAAACGATAAGCTCCGTTTGCGAAATCGTTTATCGAATTCAATCATCCCGCGTTTGAATTGAAATCAACGCGTATTTTGTCGACAAAGCGCGTTTCTGCTAAGTATTCCAAAGATACCAACTGTAGCGTGCCGACCTTACATTTAGTATATAATTGTTTCTACCTATTTCAAAGCACTGGTCTTAGAAACGTGTACATGTTGAAAGCCAACGCCGGAAGATACGAGTTTTAATCAGGAGATCGTGACTCGAAGAACGAATATGCTTTGCTTTCAGTCCGGGTACTCGGAAAAATGTGCCCTATTAGTGAGAAAAATGCGTCCTTCATGCGACTGAAAGTCGAAAAAGAGAATATTGAAGCGGTTCGAAAAAAAAAAAAAAAATAGGATGAAAAGGAAAAAAGTTTTCTTTTCCTCCAGACGAAAACAATTTGCACGATGTTCGCTTGCGCTGCTGATCCATAGCCCACGGGCACACTCAGATCGTATATAATACGCACTGCACCCGTACATAATGTCTAATTATAGCGTTCGGGGTGGCCAACTCGGAATCATTGCACTGCACCACGAAGGGTTACAAGTGTATACTATTATGTTGAAAAGCGCTCGCGGGCCCGAGGGAGAGAAGAACAACATTATGTTTATTTCATTATATTGCTCCCCCACCATGCTGGAACAATTTTTACATTTGTACCGCAGTGAACTGACGCGGGAGAGCATCATTTATTTAATCAGTCACGTTTGATTTGATGGAACACCGTAAACGATAATCCACTGATGATGGTACACGTACCACGCCGCGCACAGCGCTCCGATGAATCGGACTAGGGTACGGCCGGAGACGATGCGGTAGAGATCGTGGGCATGAATGTGTGCATGAACACATCCGTTTCGAACGGATTGTACTGAACTGCAAAAGTGCATTGGGCAGTGGAATCGGTCGCTACGATTTCCAGTGGCGGTTTCGAGCCGAACAATGTTATTACTTTCGAGACGTGTGCGTGGATATGAGCTCGGCGTACGGACGCTCCTGCTGCTATTACGTTGTCGTCGAGAAATCCAGAACTATCGATTTCCACGTTCTCATCGTTCGCATGAAATGGACACCAACAACCCTTGTTTTAGCCTTGCTAAATCCTAATCCGTAAACAATTTTTGACACCAATATTTAATTTTCTTGGTATGGATCTATAATGGAAACTCTTATTTGGATAGTTTATAATACTGGCCGGTGTGCGTTTACTTCCGACGATACCATTGTAAAATTATTTATTTATTTTTGTTTTTGGGATCAAATGTTCTGTGTCAAGCAAATTATACCGTTGTACTTATAGTATACGGACGTTTTCAGTGATTCGGGTGATCTATTAGATTTCTATTAGATAGTTTGTTCCATAGCTTTCTATACGGATTTTATCGTATTGTTTTTATTTTAAAAGTTGTGAACAAATAAACGCACACCATCCCTCTGCTCAATGTTTAACAATTTTATTTCGATTCGATGTTCGATATTGATTTTTTAGCACTTCGAAACGATGAACTGTTAACGGGTATGTGTAAACAACGTAAAGTTTGTTTCATAAAAAATTGTTGTGGACATTATTTGTAAGAGTATACTTTATAAGTATCCTAACTTTAACTACCCGGTCTCGTCCGGGTGGTATTTTTATATTTTAAAATTTAGAGGAGTGCTAGAAAAATGTTTAGGTTGGAAAAGCCGTCTGCCGTATTAGTACATTTATTTTTACTGTATTCGTTTGCGTACACTGTTATTGAGGTTATATTTCTTGGGAAACAATATTGTTGGTTCTTCTGTTAGGTTAGCACACCCATGTACATTTCCGCCGAGCAGACACGGGAGCATGCAACGCAGTATAATTTTCTGTAGGCAGAACGTGAGTTTGTGATTATGATGCCTGCGATAGTCTTCAGCGTCTGTTCCTGCACCGTACCGATGTACATGGCAAAGCTGAGCTTAAAAGAAAATCAGACGATCATTATTTCAAACGTGTGTTCGCCGACAGTTTTTGGTATCCTGGAAATAAGAATAACTTGACTTTATACTAATTCCGAAAGAATCGTAGCTTTAATTGTGTTTCATTGCACCGAGGTGTCGAAAATACATGGAAAAATCGGTCTTCGGGTGATAACGGTAGGGCTGCCAATGGGATAGTTACAAAGGAAACAAAGCCGACCATTTCGCGAGAAATCGCATACGAATCGGTAAACGGTTTTCGAGTATATCCAGGGGCGTACCCAGGATTATATTATTTGTTCTCTAATTATAATTATTGTTTAATTCAATACCAAAAAAGTTACTGTTACTAACCATAGTATGGTTTATACATTATAAGTATATTACATAATCTATAAGCTTTGTACATTGAAGATAATAGGAAATCAAAATACACTATATACTATTATTATACTATTTACTATTGAACCATTGAGTATGTAGACATTTCAATGGGGAGTCCGGACCCGAAACCCCCCCCCCCCCCTCTTGGGTACGCCCCAGAGTTTATCGAATCTGTTATCGTGTCAATAAATTTATTTGTACATATACAAACAGAGGGAAGAGATAAAAAAACAAACAAAACGTATGAATTATAACCGCGAGAGCACGAGGGACAAATGAATACGTTTCGTTTCTGACAGTTTGATGTGTAATTTCTCCGGACGAAGCGCGCGAGACATTTTCTACGACGTTCCCGGGGGGCATTCCTCGGCGGCTGTGGTGGTGGTCGTGGCGAAGTTCCGCCGAAACAACGTTAATGACGAGGGACTCGTCGCCGAAACCCCTTTGGCTGCGGGGGCGCGCAAACAGCCCGGACAAATGTGTCCCATCGTTACGGTCGTTATTGTACGAAAACATGCACATGCTCTCGGACCGCAACGACGCGACGTTCAACACTTCTAATTGTTAAACCTGGCCGGTGTCGCGGGCGTCAACGATGATTTATCTAACCGCTGTCGCGGTAATAACCACGCCTCTCTCCCTCCCCCCCCCCTAATAAAAGTATAGACAAAGCTCGGGCAGGGATTAAATTAATCTTGTTAACGGTTGAAAAATACAGACAACCGGTGTAACGAGCATTTAAACTATGAGGTTGTAAAATGGGATTCTACATTATTGCCGGACATGGAAAGTAAAGAAGATATAGATCGACTTCCTGTAATTGTTTCGGATTGACATTTAAAAGAACTGTAAAAATTATTTCTCAGTACTAAATAAAATGGTTAGGGCTTTAACATGAAATTGTATGGTTAACAGTTAAAGACCACTCGTATTATAGATGTTTTATGTTTACCGTTTGTAGGTCTTCGAGAATTCACCAAATATATGTTTTTCGAGATTTAAGTACTACTACTTATTTTGTATTAATAATTAAATTTCATAGTCAACAATAGCGGTTCCCAGTTTTCGATTCGTTTCATTTTTAATACGATTCTTGGACACGAAGACGTCTATAAAACGGCCGTCGGCAAAGTATTCGTAGAACCGCCGAGTGTTGATGGAATCGCTATAGCTTTACCGCGTTTAAAAATAAATGTCCCGTTACGGGACGGGCGCGTTAAATTTATAATAGAAATTGTGCAAGCTCCAACGAGTGAAAACCACTAGAGAAAACGATAAAAATTTAAAAAATAAAAAACTTGGTTGTATGGTAAACTTTATATATTACAAAGTTTATCGACACTCAATACCGTGCCTACATTATACGGTGGTTGCGTGATGGAAACAGCCCGGAATAAAAACAATGGTGACAATACGGTCAATTCAGTTTCGAAACAGTCCTCGGACGTCGCGCGACCATCACCGACGGACGAAAGAAAAACTAAAAAAATTAAAAAACCCTTAATGAAACAAAAATATATTACTAGTGCTCGCCGATAATTCGCGACGCAATCGTCGGCAAAGTAATTACTACACCCGCCGGGAAAATTTCGCAACGTCCGTTGGTCACGCCGACATTTTTCATCTCGGAAAACCCGTACGGACGAACTGGCCATGACGTACGTTTTGCTCGACGTTATTGTTTTTGTAACGCGTACATTAATAAAATAAATAATTTATGCGTGGTAACGATATAAACTAATAATTAGAATTATGATAAACTGTTTACTCGAAACCGGTCTTATTTTACAAATATAAAAATATTCCAAGCTAAGCATTTATAACATTTATTTATTTATATAATAATTAACAAGTTTTATTTTTTTAATTTTATACAATACGGTGTTAACGAGTCTCTTCTAATCGCGCGTTGCAATACCGTATTTGTCGATCAATCGATTAATCGATTAATCGTCCTAGGTACGCGATCCATGTATTATCGATCGACCACGGCCGACGATCAATATTCACGTGGAATATACGTTCATAAAGTCGCCCCCAATTAAGTATTGCAATTTTTAGAATTTGCAAGTCAAAACTTTCCAAACGCATTGATTAGCGTGAATACGCAAACATATTTTTAAAATTTACAATCCATTCAGTTAGTGGTCTTTTGAATTCTGATTTCAATGTTCTAGGTCGAAACGGGTGGGCTAAACATTTTATTTTTCGTTTTCACTGTGAAGCATTGAACTTGCGAATACTTGCAAACAACTCGCAAAATAATGGCACGGTTTTCAAAAACATTGCAATACATAGGTGGCGCAACTTCACGAACGTGTGGAATCGGTATCGATAAAAAAAAAAAAAAAATGTTCCGACAATGTGTTGAATACATTTCACATTTTAAAACGATAAAGCAAATGTGCATCGGAACTCGAAGTGCGATTCGAATTAAGACATCACATAAAGCGCACGCGTGAAATCGACTCTACGAAGCTAAAAAAACTACACTCCGAAACACTCTGCTGTGATTCGCACAATCATCTCTGCAGCAGGCAAAAATGCGAGGCCGTGGACAATCTGACGACTTATCGCACCCGGGTCGATCGGTATTGGGCTCGCCAGTGCGCGCGAACGTACGTGGTCGACGGATGTTGATCGTCGCAAAAAAAATAAAAATAAAAACGAAAATGTTAAAAAACTATGTTTTGGAAACGGTCCAACAAATGATTTAAATGATTTTCACAAGTTTATTTTACTCCAAAACCACCTTACGCATAACGGTATGCAATTAAAAAAAATAAAATAAAAGTTCCCGACTTCCCATTACGAGCAAGTGTAGTTAGACCGTTTTGGAAACATGTTGGAATTCTAAAACTTAATTTTTCTCACTTTTGTGGTGCTAAATATTTCAGCGCTATATTTTATTTTTTGTCGAAGACCTTGTAATTTTCATCAACTTTTCCAACAAACTTCCAACAATATCCAACGAAGCTAGATGAGTATTTTTCGATTTTATTTTAACTTTTAATTCGACTGCGCAGTGTTTACCGTGCGTTGGGCACCCAACATTTGAAATTATCATAATAACTTTTCCGACACATTCCGAACAGTCCGAGTATAGATTTTGTTGGAATATTTTTAGAATGTATTGCAAAACTTATTAGTACCAACTTCACGTACCTTATCGTGTATTTGCTTTTTTTTATCGGATTTATTGAATTTAAAATTTACTGTTAGATTTTCGTACTTTTCTGTTTTTTAGTCGTCTAAATTTTTCATTTTTTGTCTGTGTGTATTCGGCCGACTTCCAGGGTTAACCTGTATCATTCGGGTATCGATGTTTGACCCAATTATGACTTTTTACTTCACCAATGGTTATTCTTCTTGCTACATTCGGTTCCAATATAGTCCTGTTGTGATAAAATACAGATATAACGACTTTTCAACTAGGAGTTAAGACACGCTTAAGGAATAAAAACAGCCACGTTTTCAAACTGACACAAATAATATAACTGCATATAAAATAACACAGTCGTCCTTACAACATAAATGTATACCATATACACCTACTATTATATAACCTACCCAAAGTTCGGTTTATGCCCTTCCTCACTAATCAGGTTAATCAATCTGATTTCGTGGTCTCCACATGTTCCTAAAGTTGCTCCCTACTTTATCATATTAACTTCAAACTTTTACTGAATTTTAGCAACTATTTTGTAACTGTTTGCAATATCATATTTCTAACATATTATCTTCAACCTAGAATTAACGCCATATTCTTGAAAACTATATTGCTACTTTTTTTTTTGCAACCACTTAAAAAAATATGCAACTTTATGCAAAACACAATTTAACTCTGAGTTGATTCATTTTGATACTCCAGAAAAACACATTATGATTCTAGTTTTAATTCGTCATCTATGATATAGTAATTATTGTAATTGGTAGTAAATTTTTTGAAAAAAGGACCTACCGGTTTTTAATTGTTATAAAAGTGAATAAATTAAATACTAATTCAAATATTGATCTGTACACTTAAGATGCTGCTTAAAAGTTTAGGGTTGATAGGATACTATAGGAGAGCTGGAAATAGGTTACCCCTTATATGAAAATATTAATAAGTTGAAAATCAAATGTTAAAATATTGTATAACTTCGAGTTTGTTAGGATAAAGTGAAGGATATAACTTTCGTAATATAATTTCCACTACGATAGCCAATAGATATCCACGGTCTCTGGTATTTAACTGATATTTAGAGTTTATGCATATATATATAATTATGTTAAGTTGATGTATAATTATTGATATTATTGATTATAATACATACGTGGTATTTTATTTTATTTTATTAATACTCACGAGATGAGATGCATCGCTTCGCGGGCCACGTATTTTTTCGGTGTGTAAAATGTTTTTGCCATCTGCTTGGCCACGATCCGCTGACGGTCGGACTGGTGGAACGGCATGGTGTCGGCCAGCATCACGTACAGAATCACGCCTAGTGCCCACACGTCGTAGGGCTTTGGCTCGTAAGGTAGGCCCTATAAAAAAAAGTACTCACGAATAAGGTAAGCTTACACGACGAGTATAATGCGCTGCAATCATATTCTACGAATATTTCTGCGATCAGTGACGAATATTATTTTTTACAATATTAATGCGTACGGACTATGTCTTTAAGAATTATTGTATCTTTTTTTTTTTTTTTTTTGCTGTACTTTCTTCAGTGCAAGGATCGTTTTTGTCTTACAAGAAGACGCATGCCATTATTATTTTAGTTAACTTTTATTATTTATTTTTATCATCGAAGTACCCCAGAAGTTTTGTGTGCAATGCACTTATGGTCGGCTCGAAATCCCGCACACATTAATGCTTAATGTTACTCTGCAGAAATTTTTATCAAAACATTTTCAGTTAAAGAACGTATCTAGAAAGCCCATCGAAAATACTCAATGTTTCGCTTACTTGAGCATGGTATCATGTATAAAACTCTAAAAGGTCAGTTAAAAATTTAATATATACATATTAAATCAAAAAATCAGAAATTCGTTGATATCTGAAAATACGTAATATGCGAACACCCCAAAATATCATACGTTATACTAATGATGGTTACAAAAAAATAAACAATCGCATTCAAATCTAATTCAACTTAAATAACTCGAGATTCGTGAAAACTGATTAAATTTTTTTATATTTTCTATGTTTTTATGTCATATGTAACCAAACGTAACTCGAAATCTTTTTTCAGACGTGACAGAACATCATAGTTTTCAGATTTAACGACATCCGCGTAGTCAAACTTACTACTCAATAAGTGCCCCAAACCTATTCATAAGTATTCCACCGAACCTTTTTAAAAAAACTTTACACAATTGTTTCGTCAATACGTTTCCATTGTGATGGTTTTTGAACTGTTCAGAGCATATAAATGTATTCGGTGATCTTTTTTTTTTTCTCATCAAAACACGTAACCAAAGAGCAATTTCATAAGAAGAATCAACGATAAAGACGAAACAATTGTGTTTGGACTACAAGGAATTTAATTTTACGAGATTCAACTTCTTTAAAAGTCATCCGTTGTTTTTACACTTCGTAACATTTGTAGTAAATAACTTTGGGTGTGAGGAGGAGGGTAAAGGTGAACGTGACGGACAAACTTTGCACGAACGAAACTTGTACTATCCTCAAATTTTTAATTTTCTAAAAAAAAAAAAAAGAGTTCTAAAAGAAATCCTAATGGTTTTTTCATTCTTAGTACAATGACGTGCGATTTATTTTTTCAGTTCTCGCAAAAACTAATGAAATTAATTTCCCTCGTAATTCTTTAGCGAAACTAAAATTTTTTCCGGGTTCAAGTTTTCGGAAAACGTAGTCATGCTGACCGTTTCAGGACCAAGCGCGTGGAGACTGCTATGACGACGTACGAACCGGCCTGACGATAAGAGAGGTGGGAAATTGATGATCCTCCCCGAGCCCGGAATTTTTGAGAGGACCCGGAAATGCAAGTTATTAAAAATTAAACACAATTAATGATAAGAATTTACTGAACACTGCATAGAAAATTAAGATATACCCCTCGGGTCCCATTTTCTCTCTCCACAGCCCCGTATACGAACGAAGGGTGGTCGCGCTGCGTATGTACCTGGAGCACCTCGGGAGCCGCGTACGACAAGCTGCCGCAGTAAGTCTGGCTCAACAACTGCCGGCCGCGGTCATCCACGCAAGTTCTAGCGAACCCGAAATCGGTCAACTTGACGAGTTCCATGCTCTCCAGCAGCACGTTCTCGCACTTGATGTCCCGGTGCGCTATGTCGTTCCGGTGCAGATAGTCCACGGCCTCGCACAGCTGCCTAATCGAAACAATATCGTTACAACCGATGTTGTTGCCCTACGGGGCCCGTAACAGTTGCGTAACGTGACCCTTGTGACGCCGTCGATCGCGAGCGCGTATTGTTTACGTGCCGGATCAAGGACGCCTGGGGCTGATAAAAAGGGTAGAACCCGATTGCATACAATTTACCTTATTGAGAACACGATTGCGTATGTTTCCTGTTTAACAAAGAAAATCCCGTAAAACCCTGTAAAACAACACGATTGCGTATGCCACGTTGCCAAATTTGTAATTATACATTTATTTTGTTTACAAAAGTTCATACGTTTTAAAATTTTTTTAAAAACTCTAACTATATGTATAATATAAAGTTGTATTTATTCTTAAAAAAAAAAAAAAATCGAGTTTACAAAATAATTAGTTAATAGCAAATAGCTTATCACGCAGAACTACATATCAACAGTAGGTAAATTACACTGAAACAGTCGTTCGAGCGACATCTTGTCATAAAACATAAACAAACATATTATTATGTATAATAAATCACATAAACATTATTAAAATAAAATTAAAATACATTTTTTCCTTGATAAATAGAACCAATTTTAAATAAATACATTGTAATATTTTCATTAGTTGAGTGTGGCACTTCAAAATTAGTTGCCATGAGCTCAGATCTGATTATTTTTGATAGCCTAATTGAAATCGAATCATCTGCTTTACGTTTACAATTTTCTCGCAAAATTTGGTGTTCAATTTTCTCCTTTGTGTTTAAAATATGGTTGTGCTCACCCAACATTGATTTAATTTTTGAACGTCCACTGTCTGTTAATATACTGGCGTAACATCTACTTGGTGTGCACAACCATTTAATCAGCCCGTATTTTCGTTGGCGTATAAAACGATATTTGTTTGAGCCAGTTAATGCCAAGTCTTTTTCGCGTTCTGACGTAATTATTTTAATTTATTGATTTTCCAAATTTTCTATACTTTTTCTATTATTTTACTACACTCGATGTGAACGGTGGTCGGTCAACTAATAACATCTACAGCGGTTATAAATAGTGTAAACTTTCATTTCACGATGATCATTTGATATCGTTTCCAGGTTTATCGAGAAATTTCCTGGCGTGACAAATGACAACGTTGCATAAAAATAACGTATGCAATCGTGTTATAAAAATGGTTAAAAAAGGTATTGTCGATAAGCAGCGTACGCAATCGTATTCTACCCGATAAAAATGCGGCGTTCTTACGTAGGTGAAAGCGCAGGGTGTGTTCATGAATTTTAATTTTCATGAACTTAAACCTTCGCGTCAACAGCATATCTGGGGTGAGCATGTCCACTTGCCACCACAATCCCCTAGAACTGGCACTGGTTTTAAGGATGGTTACCGAGTTATAAACGGTCACGGATAGGGACGGCTTTGGTTCGTATCAATGCGACCGAAAACGACGGTTGGACATACTAGGTTGTAATCGTATCATATTTATAATGTAAAATATCTTGTTCGCTACAATGTTTTCGACTGTCGACCAAGCCAGTGCGTGAGTATGGACGGGAAAATGTTTCCTACAATACTTTTATAATACAAATCTTACGACCCGGAGCCAGATAATCCTATCATTATAAATAAATACCTAGAACTATACCTACTACACCTAGACATTCCCAGAGACACTTGAAGACCAATTGGTTCGAATAATGTTAGTAAAGAAATAAGTTTAAATAATAAGATATTAACTACGTTTGATTTCAACCAACTCATCAATGAGTGACTTTTCTGCAAAAAAAAAAAAAAAATAAAAACTTTTCACCGTGTCTCCGTTTCTCCGAAAATTTAACGTTTGATGAATAAAAATAAAAATAAAAGTCACAATTATAGACCGTGGCTTTTAAGGCGACGATATAGGACGGATGAATGCGAAGGAATGTGCACAAGAATTATTGAAAACGGTAAACGTAGTAATACTATGGTAATCGATCCGCATCAGGGGTTGTGTTCGAAGTGAAAACGTCGATCTTACGATAAGACTGGGACGAGATCGTGCGAACGGAAAAACAAAAGTCTACCGAAGTTCGAACGCAACAACGAACACGTACGCAACTCGTCGTAGCGCAACCGGTCGAATCGAATACGTTTTACGTTAACCCTGCGATCGTCGGGCGCGTTGAACCGTTGCACGGAAGATAAATATCGTTTTCTGCCTCGTAGGACGCCCAAAAAGGTCCTGAGTTAAGTGCTAAAGTTCGGGTGCGCTCACTTGAAGAACGCGTGCGCCTGCCAGCGCGGCATGCCCTTGTTGCGCTGCAGGTGGCTGAGCAGGTCGCCGTTCTCGCAATAGTCCATGAACACGTGCACGGTGGACGGGGTCGCGTATATCTGATGGGTGCGGATCACGTGCGGGTGCCGGACCGCGCACAGCAGCTGCAGCTCACGCGGCAAGAACTTGGTCACGTACGACGAGCCACCGCCGGCCACGCGCCGCTTGTCGATCACCTTGCACGCCAGCCGGAGCACCGTGCCGTCCGGCCGCGACCTGATGCCCACGCGCACCTTGCTGTACGACCCGTGGCCGACGGTCGAGCCAACCCGGTACCCGTGGTCGGCCAGCGCGGTGGACAGCGCCCCGTCGTCCGGCAGCTCGATGACCCGCGGCCGCTCCACCTGCAACAAGCACTCCGGCGGCGGCGAGGGCGGCGGCCGCCCGTGCGGGACCGCGCGCAACACGTACGGTTGCTGCGGTTGCGTCCTCGGTTGCGGGTTCCGGTGCTGCAGCAGCCTCAGCCGGTGCCGTTCCTGGTCCTGCTCGCGGCGCTGCTCCTGCCGCGCCCGCCTGCTCGACTCCTCCGCGGACTCGTGACGCGAACGGCCGCCGTTGCCCGAATGCTGGTGCATGACTCTTCGGACTTTACGCGCGCTGCGCTGCTTCTGGCACGGTCGAAAAGTGTACGAACAGTTTTCAAAACTTTCAGCTTTTTTTCGACAACCCGTACTTATATATTTATATATGCGTTTGAATATATTTATAATACGTTTCGGTAAAAATTTTGATAAACGAACTCTCCGGCACGCACGGTCCCGGAGAAGATGTTTGTTCGGTTGTGAAGTGCAGAAAAAGCCGGTTTCCGTTGTCATAGTCGCGTATATCAAACCGTACGCGTAAGATAACCGAATACGAATTACAACATCATTGTAAGTTAAAATTAGTGAAACGTAATCAATCCCGCGATTGTGATAGCAACAAAATAAGAGTTAACTGTTGAATATGGGTCGAAGACGTACAAAATTTTACAAATAACATATCTCAGCGATTAAATATGTGACGATTTAAATGAATAATGTAGAAACAAATTTGAACCGTGGAATAAATTGTTTGCGTAGAACTACAGCTTCAGGAAGGAAAACGTAGGATTTTTTTAGTACAGAAAGGTCTGAAATAAATTTCTAATATAAAATATTAAAATCTTACCAAAGTTTTGGTATCGGTGCGATATTATTATCCTAAGAATATTTACTACGGGGATGGAAATCAAGAAATACGATTCGCGTGGTACACCGAAAAAACGTTTAAAAACAATAGTACTCATATCGCACAAATTTTGACGATACATATTTGACTCATGATTCACGATTCATGACCGTTTTATGGAAAATCTTTTCGGGTCACCGCGATGACGAGCAACCGATTTTTGCAATTATCAATAATATTTTAATACATTATTACTGTTATTTATTTTTTTTTATTAAAAACTACATCATATACGAACATATAATCTTGAAAATTATACGAAATGTAATTATTAATCGCTTATAATTTTTCATTCACGTTGTTCGCACAAAAGCAAGTTTAAATTATGAATCGTTTTTAAACAGACGAGTCACTAATATCGTGCGCGCGGATCACGGGTCCGTCACCCCCGATATATTAATCCGTATGTGTATTTGAAAGATCGGATGACTATCGTTACGATTTACGATATTCATATTTCGTATACAGCAAAAACAAACAGTTTCTTATCGTTCGAAGACCGCGGACCATAGCGGTTGGTGATTTCGAGCTCGGTATTCGAATTTTCGACATGGAACAACAGCAGCCAAAAACGATTCGCATTGCATTTAGATAGCTTTAATAAACGTATGTTCTGTCCACATCTCGAATCCGTTACCGAATCCACGAAAAGTTTACAAAAAAAAATCACAATTCTATAAAATATGTCGGGTTCGTGCGTCCTTCACCATTCCTTTGCAGTGCTTGAAAAAAAAAAAAAATCATACGCGATTGGAGCCACAAAGTTGTAGATGTGTTCTTACGGTATATGCGTGGTATACCCGATCACTATGGTACAACACCAAACCCGGACCCAGACGGATTCGCGTTCGGGAACAAAAACCATTTCGTTGCACACCGGTTCCTGTTAACCCGTTGCCGATTAATCCACACGAACAAATCATGTTTATACAAGACGTTTGTTTCTGTTCAGGGTTTTTCTTCGACAGACCCGTACGTTTGTAAGGTTGTACACATTATATTGTATGGATTCGATAACGTGCTGCAGTCGTACGACGCAATCTACATGTCCTTGTACGGTTTTTTTTTCTTTGTTTTCTCTTCCAAATTCTCTCTCTCTCTCTCTCTCTGTCTCTCTCCGTCGCTATTTACTTATTTGTCCGTCTCCTTCTACCGACTTCAATGGACCACGGCGCGCGTAATTGATGATCGACGGTCACGCGTGCGCGACCTTCGGATACGGCCGAACGCTGCGCCGTCAAATCCAATGCCTGGTCGCGCGCGCTCCGGAACGCACATCGTTTTGCCCATCCGATCGCGTCGCACGGTCACGTACCGGTAATTAATATTAATTTACGTGGTTACGAAAATAATAGGCGATAATTAAACACACGGTTGTTCACGAGTTGCGGCTTGATCTCCACGATGACCCGACGACGGAGGTGGTCTGCTCCTATCTCTCCCTCCCTCCCTCTCGTTCGTTTTCCATATGGCGCTCGGACGATTCAACTCGGAGCTTGGCGATGAATAATAATATTATGTCTGCGTCGTACGTGATCCTCGACACTTTTTCGACTTTCCGAACTCGGCGAATAGATTTTCTTGCTTTTAAAACTGCCGTAAGTCGTAAAATCTGTATTTGGTATTGAATAATGTGTATGCGATTGCGTTACATTACTCGAACGTTTATATCAACATTCAATCGTGTTCTTAACTTCAACACACAAGGGTGCAATAAATATTTGATCGATTACCGTAACACGTACCCTCCGACTCGTATGCGGTACAAACTTCAAAACTACTGCTGCTCATAATCGATGCGAATATCATTTGATGGTTGTAAACGTTGAAATCTATTAGAAATTCGCATTTTTAAATCGTGTTATGGTGTGAGCAACTGTCGATATACGAGCATATTACAATTAACCTACAAACATTATACTTATATACCTACATATTATATATATATATACTCGTATACAATTTTTAGAAAGAACGTTGTTCGTTCATATGTTGTGAACGACACGCGAACGTCGATCGCTTTTTTTTCAAATAGAACATTTTTTTTTATGAACTCGAACGATTTTCGGGGCGTTCAAATGTATTTACGATTTCAACAATATATGTATTAATAATAAATATGGACCATGATATGTTTAAGAATGGGTTTTAAACACGTAGTAAAATAGACATTTTGTAACGGTCCGATTCATACAGAACGCAGGTCGGTGAATCATAAACATAAAAAAATTCAAATGAACGCGTTGATTTTTTTTTGTATACGACTTGAACGTGTGTACTTTAACGAAAGAAATGAACTTGAACGAGTCAAATTTTAAAACGACCGTTCCCAACATTGTACACGTACACATTTGTTTCCTGCGCAATATTGCGTTGTAGGGCGTACGAAATTAGTGGTTGCTGCGCAGGTGTTATCGCGCGCGTACCCGTGCATTCGCGGGGACGGAAAAATAATGACAACAATGGACTCGCAAATGTTAACGCGAAAACCAATGCAGTACAATGTACCGTGGATACAGTTGGTGGTGTTTTGTACCGCTGAGCGATAAACCCTACATCGTATAATGTGGTCGGAAAGCGAATAAAATGTAAAAATTGTGTCAGATTCGTATTACAAAAAAAAAAAAATAATAATAATAATAATAATAAAATGGTAAACAAAAAATGACGAGACAATATTTCTCGACGTGTGCCACACGTGTACGTGATTTACGAGTTGCCTACTACCTGTGTGCGTGTGCGCGTGCGTGTACAAGTCCTTGAAATCTGTTCGGAACCTCTGCCGTCGAAATTATATGCGTCCAACGAATGTAATCGGTCGGGCAAAGTCGTTTCTCTAAAAGCCCGAGACAAATTACCGTAATCACGAGGACGGGGGAAAAAAAAAAGAAATTCCCATTACCGTAATGTACAAAACTCACGTCTCCACGACCCCGCACGGCTCGTATTATCTCGGAAACGTATCAATTAAGGCGCCGGTCGTGGGCCCGCCGTGCACACACACTCGCTATCTCAGAGGTTCCCAAAATGCATCTCCCCGAGCGCTTCTTTTTCGAATTGTATTTTGTTCACACGGAATCGAACCTTCTGCACGGGAAACACGATTACCATAAACACGCTACCACGCCACAGAGTACATAACTAATATAATAATTGTAAAATAAAGTTACGCACTAGTGTTATGCACTGTACGCGTTCAACGGTTCATATCAGTTGTATCCGTAAAATAACCAATAATATATGTATTGTTGTATACGATCGTGTGATATGTCGCACCAGAGGTCGGCAACTGGCGGAACGCAATACACTGTCAACTTTTATTTTTGTACTTCAAGTGTTGTAATTTTTAATATAAATTATTTGTAATAACCAAATAATTGTTTTTATTTTTATATTACTATTTTTAAAATATAAAGATTTGAAAAAGATTTTTTTCACTGGACCTCATCGATTTATTATTTTAAACTTTAGGACTCCAATGTAATTTACTTGCCGACCCATGTGTTACATGGTAAGATTTATAAAACGTGCACGATACTGTTCGGTAAGAGGTAGTAAGCTCACGGTTTAAATTTAAGAATGTGCGCTCTAGAACAGAAAACTTTTAAGAAAACTCGTGTTTTCAGAAAATCACGCACTGAATTTGGCGGGTAGCTGGAACAATTTTTTTGCTGGTCGATAAGATGAAAAACTCTTTTTCGATACGGTTGAAAATTTACTGGCTGTAGCAGAGTTTCTAGAACATTTGTACCATCGCTTTCGACCCATTTTGACCAATACATACTGCGTAGAAAGAACTTTGCCGAATTCGAACCGATTACGAATACAACTTTTCGGAAAACATCGAATGATGGCCAATAGTCGATTTTGAAAAAGAAATTACGAATTTTCACTAGACAACGTGATGGAGGACAGTTCGGTTATCTGATAAATCGAAAACAAAGTTGTTCGTACGCTACAACAACAAGCGACATCAATTTTTAGACGATTTTGTTTAAAACATCGTTCACTTATCAAAACGTTCTGAAACGTGCTGTATCGTTGGAATTGCATTGAAACCTACACGAAAAACTTTATTATGTAATGGCTCGTCACAGATATTACTGAAATCGACAGACCCTCGAAGGACATCCTGTATATGTGCAGTGTGCGTTTGTTTGTGTGTGCACGCCGTACTCGTGAATGGTAATTGATGTGTTTTTAAGCCCGCGGACCCTGTCCTGCCACCACCGGTGCACCACTCCCGTCCGCCTTACGCGAAACCGCTAGAAACATTATTATTATTAATGTTGTACACGCCGCTGCGGCGACCACTTGGGTCATTTCGTTTGACACGATTGAAAAACATGAACATGTAATGCGCGTCGAAAACCGCAAGCGAAATTGAAAAAAATTGTAACAATAATAACAATTGAACGATAGTAAATTTCTGTCGCCGCGATCGTTCCAGATGCAGCCTTCCGGCAACTTCCGGATCACGCGACGTGCTTCGCGGTGCTCGTTAACAGGGCCGTAGCAACCAAATATTGCGCTCGGGGCGAAACTTCGTAATGCGGTTTTAATTTTTTTAATTTATAAAAAAAAGCCCACAAAAAACTGATACACACTAATTATAAGTAGATTCATTGGTATAACATAATAATATTTATAAATTATATGAGTAAATATATAAATACATAATATATATTATTACTTTTACTTGTAAGTAATAATTCATAGGTAACAATTGAATTGAAATGTTTTCATTTTCGAGCCCTCCCAGGAATCGAGCCCGGGGCGTAGACTCCTCTAGCCCCCCCCCCCTCCCATTACTACGGCCCTGCTCGTTGATGTCGCCGCCGCGTGCGCGTGTTCACCCCGCAGCGAATACAACGGTCGCAACGATAATAT